TCTTCATTTGACCCTATAGCCAGTTAATTCGGTAAACTTTTGATCTACTTTTAAATCTTTATGAATGTTTATAATACGTACTGCACGTTTGTAACGTCGCTTTTCATTGGATAATTGTGACGTTTATATAGTTTTATATACACGCCTGCTGTCGATTAATTAAAACATCTTACTTTTTTTCTCTAAAAAATAATGCTTGCTGTATTATAAATTCATTATAAAGATTGTTGACAGGTAATATGGCAGTATATAAATGGCTGTTTGCAATATAACCTTCGCCTAGCGGCTCAGGTTAAATTTACAAATAGCGGTTTATATAGGGCCATATAACCTGTCAACAATTTTTATAACTAATAATATAACCAGTTGTTAAATGGTCTAAATTAAGAATCCCTCTTAGCGCAACCATTAATTAAGACATTGCCTAATGACAATAATTATAGACATTATAAACTCGTAGGTTCGAATCCTGGTTCAGCCATTTTGTTTCTTTTAATTTTAAAATTGCCCATCTCTAATAATTCATGCAAATCATTTTTATTGTGTATACTATCTGTGTACTTTTATATTAACTACATCTGTAGTGTGTATGTGCTAAACAATATATGTTTGCATAATGTCACCATAATGAAACCATTGAAAAATTTGCGTTCTAGAGAAAAACTTGCGATTGTCCAACGTCCATATGTCTGAGTACTTACAAAAACATCTTGATTAAACAAAAGGAACACCACACTACTCAAAAGTTATCATAAAAGTAGATATATTAAAAGAATTTCAAATTAATTCAATTCTTGCAATAATTATGTAAAAAAAAAACAACAAAAAACCAGAAGTGTGACTTCATAACGCAGTGTTTGTTAGGAATCAAACCAGAGACCTTCAGATCAGTAGTCCGGCATCTATACAAATATACCTCACCTTACTGGCATGTGAAGATAACAAATATATCAATATATTTGTTTGATACAAGTGTTTATTCAATGACCTTTATGAAAGTTAATGAAGATCAAGGACAATATTGTTGGACAACTACATCTGTAGTGTGTATGTGCTAAACAATATATGTTTGCATAATGTCACCATAATGAAACCATTGAAAAATTTGCGTTCTAGAGAAAAACTTGCGATTGTCCAACGTCCATATGTCTGAGTACTTACAAAAACATCTTGATTAAACAAAAGGAACACCACACTACTCAAAAGTTATCATAAAAGTAGATATATTAAAAGAATTTCAAATTAATTCAATTCTTGCAATAATTATGTAAAAAAACAACAACAAAAAACCAGAAGTGTGACTTCATAACGCAGTGTTTGTTAGGAATCAAAACAGAGACCTTCAGATCAGTAGTCCGGCATCTATACAAATATACCTCACCTTACTGGCATGTGAAGATAACAAATATATCAATATATTTGTTTGATACAAGTGTTTATTCAATGACCTTTATGAAAGTTAATGAAGATCAAGGACAATATTGTTGGACAATATTACCAACCAAAATCTGCAAATTTAATGGGAACTGGTCAGTGGGCTGAGGTAATTTAAAGGTATTCTAAGATTTTATGAACTTCCTAGGACAAAGTACATGTAATTGATATTATAACTGAAATTTTACAGGTATAACAAGTAGTAATTGATTTATCAGCACCCATCAATTTTAAGCTGTGGTCTCAATTACTCCTGGCAGAGCCTAGTACCAAGCCGGTAAGTTACATGGATGATCGGGGACAATCAGTGGTGAAATTATTGTTGCGGTCACACTAAACCTGGCAGCACTACAGTTATTCCCAACTAACCAACCAGGATGAGTTCCGGACCATCCAGGCAGAGCCCACGTGAAGCTTCAGTTAATGCAGGTACTTTCCCGGCCAATCCAGGCAGACCCCTGGTAGATTGAACATGCGCGAAAATGATAACATTGATACATAATTTTTATTTAATAAAATATCTATTGTTCCAGAACAGTAATTCATGACGATTTTCTGAAAAATTCTTATGCAATACTGGATAGAAGAGAAATGGGAAGGGTTTTAATACAAACAAGTGCAATCATCGCAAATTGTAGCAATTCTTTTGAAATGAACCAGGCTTTGCCAGGGCTCTACTTGGATCAACTGTAGCTCCATCATCCTCCTCCGGGGCTCTGCCGGCATTTACTGGGGCTCTGCCAGCAATCACCGGGGCTCTACCGTAGCTCTACTGGCTATACCATACCCAGGATCATCCCTGTTTTGTGCCAGCAGAGCTACGGTGCTTCACCGGTGTAACCCTGGTCGTTCCTAGCAGAGCTTAGGATGAAGCCTGCAAAGCTATACTTCCCGGATCATCCCAGACCACCCTGGTGATATTAAATATTTTATTCCACCCAGGGTCGAATCCCGGATGTTCCTGGATCATACCAAACATTGCCAACAGAGTTACAGATGTACCCCAATTGTTCCCAGTAGAACCCGGATCACACCGAACGTCTACCGGGGCTCTGCCGGGATGTCAGTGAGACGGTAGCTTTAAGTCGAGACACATTATGAGGACCTTGTATTCACAGTTGTTATGGTGTCACTGTCATATTTCCAAAAAAATATTTTTCAAATGTTACAGCTTAAACTCTAAACATGCTAATAGTGTCACACTTTCTATCATGCAACCAGTAAAGATCAGAGCCAGCGTAATTATCCTTTAAAACATTTTGAAATCTAAAAGATTTTGAATGATTTTGCCTAAATTGAAGTCCATAATTTTATAATATCAATTGGGGTAAGGATTAAATGCCCAGCAGCTGAAAGGGTGACTAAACCATACTTTTTATTTTGAAATACATGTACATGTGTCTAAGATAGCATTTATACCATTCTATAGAATAGCATATAAATTTATAATTAACCATCAAAAATAATTTTAGCTTATCCCTTAATATATTTTAAATAAAGTGGTATCTCTATATATAGGCTATATTATTCTCTATTGAGGACATTCATTCTCATCAAACTTATCACTGATTATTCTTACTTTCATTATTTTCATCATTCAAAACATGACTTGCACTTATTTTATAATCTTATTTTATAATGGCTACATATATTTTATGTGATTTAGAAGTAATGTTTTATTTTATCCAATTATTAAATCCTATAAAAAAGATATGAGTTTGAGATACTTCTGTTTTGCACAAAGAAAATAATTAAATTTGCTCAAAATTTGTGCGGAAAACAGTTGTAACTTGAGATACTACCCTTTTGCACAAAAAAATATGTAAAAAATTATCAAAATTTTATTTGTAAAACGGTTGTAACTTGAACTTATTCAAATATCTTTTTTCAAAAATAATTTGCTTCTTTTTTATTATTTTGTTTCTAATTCCTTAACTAAAATGTATATATTTTCCTAAAATAAAACATTTTTATTCATTAACAAAAGTTTTAAAAAGTTTTTTCATGCTCCTGTAAAATTTGCTTAAATTGAGTTACAACCGTTTTGCGCTAAGCCCGCGATAAGCCTTTATTTACTGATACATTTATAACGTTAGTTCTTTGTATAGAATCAGTCGAGGGTTTCAAGTTGATGATGTCTGGAAAATTAAATAACCTTGGTCATAAGGTCTTCATTCTTAAGTGTAGGGTTGCAACAAGATATCTCTGAAAGAGAGCTTCATTTTGACCTATTAAAATATGACCTTAACATTATAGTCACTTTTACTATGGCAATATGTATGATTTGGAATGAGTTATTATAATCAAAGTTGGTATACCTAATGTGAAAACATCGGTTTGGATTGCATTTGGACCGATGGCTCAATGTCACTGTTAATAAAAATAGAAAAATGGATTCCGATCAATAACAAGAGGTAGGAATGAGAGATTGAAATCAAACTTAGTAACCATAAATGAAGACCCAGGTTGTGATTGCTTTTGCAACCCTTGGGTCAAGGTGCTAAAATAGAAAAATGGTTTCTAGACAATAACAAGAGTTGGGAATGAGTTATTGTAATCAAACTTATTATATATAGAAAACTTATGTGGAAAGCCAGGTTGGGATTGCTGTTGGACCCCTAGGGTCATGGTCACTGTGACTAAAATAGAGCAATTGGCAAGAATATTTCGTTTTTGTTTGCATCAGTATACCTTTTGAGCTCACTGAGGACAAAAAAGCCAGACAAAGTTGTATTAGACCATGTTGTAGGCTATATCGCGTGTCGTCCGTCCGTTCACTTTAAACAACATTTTCTCTCAATGTATCCATGTTGACAAACCTACGTAAGTGAGGTTACAATACAAAACAGGAGAAAAGCCATCAACAGTTTAGAGATTGGTCAGAATGCGAGGTTGTACACACTGGCCTGGCGCTTTAGTGATGGCAAATATTAACCAGTTCCGGTTCCAGCAAAGTAGTGTTTAGCTCTGGACTCTCATTCTGACAAAAATCAATTAATTTTACAATTTTATTTATGATAATAACAAAATTATTGGAGTAATCACAATAATTCGGATCCATCCGATAAGCTGTATATATGTATATAATAACGCGATGTATATAAAACATACATGCAATAAATAACAAAAAACACACTAAAAGAAAGGTAAGTTCCTACAATAATTGGCCGCCCCAAAGTTAACCACCATGGTAACTATGTATTTTATAACTAGAATGCAAGCACAGTTCTTCTTTCCGTTATTGATGACCTACGCTTATTCAATGATTGTTCACTTTTGTCTATCCATGACCGATTGATATTTCTATCCATTATCGATTGATTGATTGTTTTCGCTTTTGTCTATCCATGACCGATTGATCTACATTTTAGTTATAGTTATGAAAGTTATGTCTATTTTTTTTTTCGAATACATATCTTTAGTTATGAAAAATTTGTACAAATAATGATCTCCCTAAATAAAAAAAATTCCCATAGCATTACTAATAAGCTGCATAAGCATCACACGTTACGCGATTCATCATGTGTAAAATCATCAAATGTAATGTTTCCAAATTCCTTAATATATATATATTAATGACGTGTTTTTACATATTTGTCATTGTACATTCAATTCAAATATGGTTTATGATTCCAACGTCCCTTAATATAAGGTTGATATTTCCATCGTTTCCTATACAAATAATATTTGATTTTTTATACCTTTAACCACGTGCGGTTGAGTATTATTATGTTGTTCTTTTTTCCTCATCTTTTCGCAAAAAGGAAAGATACAAAAAGGATGATGTTTATGCTTTTTTCGCGTGCATTAATGAATAAGCTTTTTTACATTTTAGGCGTTTTGTGACTGGAAATTTGCAAGACAATGAAGAAATTTTTCTATACCGAAAGAACGATATACTTGCAAAATAACAATCTATCTCCCAGCATTATGTAATGGTTTGCATATCAAACAATTTATTGCATTATTCCTATGACTATTTAATTGAGAAAAATATTTGTTCTTTAAAATATATATTAAAATTAATATAATATTCACAATCTCTTTCTATATATTAGTCATGTTTCCTGACCGACAATTCTCACCAGTTTTAATTTCTTTGTCGTTGGATCTTTGCACAAACCGAATCACAAATTTCAAGGATAAGTTGATTTACTTTACGGATGATGTTTGATTTATCATCACCAAGTTTCCTTATTCCTTTTGTACCATTTCCCTTGTAATTGTATCTACAAATGATGCGAACAAGAAACCACATTGTGTGCCACGACATTGACGTTAGATTTGTCAGTTTTCTGTCCTGCAGAAAAGTAGTCCTTCGGGATGACAATCATTTCTGTATCGTTCACTGAAATAAAATAGTTGGACATGTTTTACATATAAGGCTAAGGAACACATGAAACAAGAACCGGTTGAACCGGATGATGCTCCCCGAGTAGGTTTTGGACACAGAAAAGTATTAAATAAATTAACAAAGGGCAAAAACTCCAAAATTAGGCAAAACAGAATTATGACTATTTGCACTGCACTTTCTATTCAATGAAATCTATC